ACCTCAGTGCATACTCCACTGAGTTCTAGTTCTCTATAACACTGCCTCTGTAGTGAACACCTATCTACAGTGAACACATTTGCTCCATAGGATTGGGATTAATCCAAAGATCTATTACCTATCAAAGATGAAAGACTCATCCAAAGAACACCTGGAAATTTGTACTTTGATATTAATAACTAGATAACGGCAACTCCGCAGAGTAGCAAATCCCAACAAACAAAATATTAATTACCGAATTCCAATCAATTATACTCATTACTTTGGTTGAAAATGAAAAAATGAGATTTTAGAATTGCAAATTCTTGCAAAGCAGCCATTTTGAATTTTCTGAGGTACAAATCTGAAAAATAATACCATAATTGTGATCTACTCCAAAATTCCTTCAATTTGAGTATAATATAGCCATACTTTGAAGGGATCGAAAAATTATTGCGAAATCGTACATTAGACGGCCATTTTGAATTTTACGAGGCTCGAATCAGAAAAAAGATACAATATTTGCAATCTACTCTTAATTGCCTTTCATTTGAGTATAATAAAGCTATACTTCAGAAAGATCTAAAAATTAGCGAAAATTTCTGTTTTCCTGTCCCCCCATACATGGCCCCTGGGGGTCAGGATGAAAAACACGGAATATATGTGAAATAGATAAATGTTGTCAATACACTATCAAAATTTCAAACAATAATATTCATTACTTTGGTTTAGAATGAAAAATTTATGATTTTTGCGAAAAAGTCCCGTCATTTTTAAAGCGGCGGCCATCTTGAAAAAAAAATTTTTTGCGTAAAACTATTCACCAATATACATCTTTCCACTAAATATGAAGAAAATCTGTAAACTAGTATTTGAGTAATCTTCCGGACAGACGGACGGACTGACTGACTGACTGACTGACGGACAGACGGACGGACGGAGGGCTTCACTATATCCCTTACGAACTTCGTTCGTTGGGATAATAACTCCTTAGTGAACTACAGTATTTATATGGTATAAGGGCTTAGACATTTTCAAATAGAACAATTAATTTGTCAGTTTAACAAAATTCAATCGCCTTTTTAGAGTGATTGCGCTTTAAATTAAGCATAAAATGCAATGATGTTTTAATAATAACCAACCACTCTCTGAAGACAAATAACAAATTCTCAATTTGCCAATATATTTACAATTATTCTGAAAAGTTTGCAGCTACAGGTGTTGAACGCCAGTCCTTTGTTCACCATCTCTATACTAAAAGACAAAGAAACTTTCTAATAATAAACACTTCACCGATTTATCCCCCAAAGTAAAGACCACTAAGGTCACCTTGACCTTAGAGACTCTTAACTTGGAAATATGATTCCTTAATGCTATTAGTATTAATTCATCAAAAATCTGAAATCGAGAAATTAAATACAAGCAAAAATAAATAAATTATAAACATTACCTCAAGCAGGCTTATTTATTAGAAAATCCAACCACATTTTGTTGATAATTATTCTACAAAATGAACCCATAAAATTGTGGTGTTTGAATTAATCAAAAAATCAGTTTTTGAAATTAAATATTGCAATTGGAGGTTTATCTCTTGTAATATATTATATGGCCCTATAATCTAAACTCAATATTGCCCTACAATTTTATTAAATATAGCCCTACAATTATTGTTAATATAGCCCTAGAATTAAACTTAATCAAGCCCTGCAATAATACTATAAAGCTCTACTAATACATGTATAATCAATATAGCCCTAGAATTATACTCAATCATACTTAGAAGATCTCTACAACTGATCTAATGCACGTTCCCGTTCATTAGAAATAATCTAAAGTAATTCTGTACACAGCTTTTCTTTGAAACATGTTCTGTGATAAAACATTTCAATCTTCCAATGACATCTTGGGAAGGACAATAGGACATTGCTGTAAGTGAACTCAGAAACACCTGACCCTAGCAATAAAATATCTACCTGTTTAACCATTTTTTTCTATTTATTTTTTTCATATCCCATATTATTATTCATCTCTAAATAAGAGAACACCTTGCTTTTCTGTCATACAACGTTTCAATCTTCTCATGACATCTTGGGAAGGACAATAGGACATTGCTGTAAGTGAACTCAGAAACACCTGACCCTTGCAATAAAATATCTACCTGTTCAACTGTATCCCATATTATTCATCTCTAAATTAGAGAAAAACTCACTTTTCTGTCATTTTTAAACAATTAAGAGAACTGACTATCTGTTAAATCACATCATTTTCTGATTTCTCTCTTTTGTTATTCTATTTTGCATTTTAAATCAATGTATTTTTTCAGGTAAGTGAACTCAATGATTGAACGTAAATTGATGTAATGCCAGGTTAAAAATATAACACTTCACTTACATTGAGAATAATAAAAATCTATAATCTTACACCTTTTGCCCTTGTAACATCCGCTTTCTTTTATACATTTAAGTTCTTATTCATTATGTAAATTCCTAAATGTAACATACACAGTGAAACTTATCTCATTGCACACATTTTTCATATTTGAGCATTTCATGAGGCGAATCTAGATTTTTGCATTGAGAATATCAAAATTACTATGAACCCTTAGAAATTTTTTTTTAATAATTCATATTTAATTGAATCTCAAAGAATTTCAATGTCAACATTTTTTTTAATGACTTGCATCAACATTTTTCAACTTTACGATTTGAATTTTTCTACTCGAGGACTTGAATTTGTCCACTTATTGATTTGGATTTTGCACCCAGTTAAATTTTGGAAGAGATTTCATCTTGATTTTTGTCATTCTGTTTCATCGGAAAAATCTACAAGAATATGTGTTATTCTGTATCTGGTATTACTTGTTAATGTTATAATTTACATTGTACTGGCATTCTGAGTGCAAACCAGTCTCATTGACTTATTGAATTGTTTGTTTGAACGTGCATCAAGGATGAATGAGCAAATCAATACAATGTTATACAGTGCAAGAGGCTGGGTAAAAAACACAGTCAGAGTACAGTATAAGTGCAATTGCCAGTGAAAAGATGAACAGTCAGAGTACAGTATAAGTGCAATTGCCAGTGAATGGATGGACCAATGAGGGAATAGGATTTGATTGTATCCCTGTATATTAGGAATGAAAGGAATTCTTGAAAACATTAAAAGATTTCATGACTTGTTTTTAAAATAATGAGGTTGAGTGGCTAAAAACAAGACCCTTTAACTTAACTGAACCTTGTAAACCTATCAATTTTTGAGAAATTTACTTTTGCTTTAGCACTCCTATTGACTCTATGACTAGGTCAAATGAGCTAATTGGAAAAGTTGAACAGACTTTCTTTTCAACCATACCTTTAATATTCATTCAAAAACATGATAAAATATAAAATAGGTGGAGTGAGCAATGAGCCTTTAAATAGGTGGATTGAGCAATGAGCCTTTAAATGCCTCTCAGAAATCACCAGAAATTTTACCAAGGGTAGTTTCCTTTCTTACAAACACAGCATACTGACCAGAGAATGAACTTTACTGTCCACACCTGTTGCCAAATAGCACAATAATATCACCCTTACTTTGGAATGCCATGCCAGCAATATCTGTTTCTAATTCTGGTTATAAATATTTCTTGATATTTTTCTGTAATATTTGAATAAAGTGTCTCATTTTTAAGCATTTTTATACACTTTAGACTGTTCTTTACATGTCTGTTTGGTTTATTCCTTGGCAATTCCTCTCTTTTGTTTGTTATTTCTCACTTTTAAACATGATCTCAATGATATCTCTATCACGGGTAATTACTTGCAGGAGCTGTGCAGATCAATATTGAGGATATGTCCTCAGAATCCTCCCCATCAATGAAATATTGTATGGGCATTGCTAGCAATGGGGCCGACATTTTCAAGATATCTGTATTTCAGATTTTTTAAATTCTTAATTTAACAGTGAAAAGTATGTCCCATACCCATAGAAGTATATTATCTTCTGGCCAAAGTTTTGCCTCAACTTTCAAGTTGGCCTCATCTTGTCAATTTGCCTCACCTATTTCCTGTGTTGTGAGGATCACATTTCCAAATAGTAAATACCAGAAAGAAAGGAAATTAGGGAATAAGCAATGAACAAAGTATACTGGACATGGAATGAATTCATTTTTAAATGTATGAAAACCCAGAATATCAGGAAATTGAAAGACAATGTGAAAAAATTGTATGAAATCAGATGACAAAAAACAGGTTAGACATGGGTAATTACCTTGTACAAATAACATATTACATAGTTCATTGTAAGTAATGTATTACTGCCTATTTATGTACTAGGTGACCAAGTCACCTTATTTCATTGTCCCTGGATGACTTGACAGCTCAATCACTATTTACTGAAGTATCTATCTTCTCAAGCTTATTACACAAAATTCCTCTCTAAAATTTGAATAAAGTGCCCAATTTTTCAGAATATATACCATTTGGAGAATTGGCTACATGTCTGTTTACTTTATTTATTGCTGATTCCTCTCTTTTGTATTCTATTTTACATTTCAGAACATGATTATGTGACAGTAAACACAAAGGAAATAAAGGCAGTTGTGTGTACACAGCTTTCTATTGTTCACCATATTTGTGGTTCTACGAGGGTGACATCTTTAGAAGTTTCTACATCCTATTTTCAATGTAGGCATGCAAATTGTATATACCATTTTTCAAAGTGGGAAAATCTCAAAATTGATTTAATTTTCCACACTATGGCCATTGCAAATGCACACTATAGTCCTCAAAACAACAATTTAATGGGAGGACAATCAATAAGATATTCTATTTTTTGGGCTTTTCCATTGACAAAAAGTTAAGCTTTATTTATGTAAACCACTTCATTATCTAATAATTATCCATTATGATGCTTAATGTTTAATAATGAAAAACAAAAATAATGAAAATTATAATCTTGACATGGAAACAGAAAAGGCAACAGTTATAAACACCAATTATCACTGGAAAAGAAGTCACAAAATGCAAGATAAATAAACTTACCATTGGAAAGCACTGAAGTGGAAATAGGCCAATCCAAGTCCATAGAGGAAAGGAGCATCCTGGAAATAAATTGTATACTTTTATTTCATAAGTTAAAAAAATGGAGCATCTTCAAGTAATATTACACAACATGATGACAAATATTATTTTAAAGCATTTCAATTGGTCCTCAAATGAAGGATAATACATCAATAAAGAGCAAGACTCAAATCCCATTGTTTCATTACCCTTGTACAGTGTAAATCTGTCATTAACCAATCACAGGTAAGAAACATGATCACATGATATTTATCATCCAATCACAATATATATTTTGACTTACTTTCCAATAAAGCTCCTGCATGCTGAAGAACTTCTGGTATGCAGAGAGGGCTACAAATACATGAAAACATGAACATTTACTAATGACTATATTGCATGAATTACCCTTTATCATTTATACATAACCCCACATGTGCCTTTCTCGCCATTTCTGTTTTATTTGGACTCTGACAAAAATAATATATTTTCATGTCCCCAAAAAAGATTGCTTGGGCAAGAAACCAATTATCCACAGCAATTATTGTAGCCTTCTACTTGGCCTAACAACTGAGAGACGGGAACAACTAAAATGTTTAGATCAAAATGTCTTCTAAAGCCCAGAGCTTAGTAGTGACCATTATTACAATACCATGTGACACAGATTAACTCTTTATTAATAAGGAAGTAAATCAAATTATAAAGAGTTACAAAAATATATTTGGATACTCCTCAACTACTACAGCGGTGGCGGTAGGCATATATTTTTGTGAGTCATCATGACTCAGGTAGTTTAAAAAAAGTGAGTCACAAGAAAAAAAGTTGAGTCAAAGCTATAAAAGTGTTTTTCTTGAGTAAAAATGCATACAAAATGTAGAAACCACATACAAAATCTATTTTTTGATTTTGTGCATACCTTTTATTGTACTCCTATAGCACATTAACAACTAACAATTAATTAATTAGGCAATTGCAAGAAAAATGTCACTATTAATCATCTGATTATCTGGTCCAGCGAGTCATGGGTGTGAATGGAGTGGGAGAGGAGTTTCTCCCTGTGTGGAGTTACACAAATTGGGGTCAAAGCGTTTCATGTTGAAATTCAACATTTTTGCAATCATTCCAAAGTCTAAAACGCCAATATAAGTCCGACCACAATACTGGGCATCATTTAAATTGAATACGGTAGAATCTTGTAATTATAGCTGATCAAATGAAACCGAAAGTAGATTTGTTTTCATACCTAATTTATCATCATTACCCCCCTTAATGTGCGATCGACTGGATTTTCATGTGCCCATTATCTATCTTCATAGGATCAGCTTCAGATCTAGTGAATCGAAGATCTTAACTTGAGGGAGTTAATTGAAAATACTTGGTGAAAACTTACGATAGATCGGTCACTGTGAGCACCATTGATAAACCTACTGCGCATTACATCTGCGCATGCTGATGAAGGGGACGGCTCAAGGAAACTTGCTAACTTAGCGAAGGAATTTTGCGAACTTGCGAATGAAACTCAAGGTTCGTAAATCTAGTGTGTGAACATTCAAGGGAAGATTTTATGCGGTAATTTAGATAAATATACGATCACTAAAATCCTTAGAAGGGAGTATGAAATTAATAAATTATTGTTCAATGTTATGTTCGTTTTATTGCATTTTTGATACGCCCCCTAGCAACGTGCTTCACGAGATAAACAAATCGAGGGATCGATCAATGTTTTCAAGTTTATCATTGAATCTGAATCACAGGGCTTTAAAAATTATATGAAATACCGAAATGAGAAAATGATCGGTAGGAAGGAGGCTCGATTGCGCTGAACGAAATGTTAGATTTCCGGAATTAGCAAAATTATAAATTTGATCAATCACGTATTTTCACGTATAGGGATCAATTTAGTACCAAGCGGGGATTTTGCATGTGAAACAAACGTGCGTCAGAAAGACTCGGTAGACAATGAATATTTGCGTCAGAGTTGCAAAAATGTGAGTAAAAAACGTAAAAAATTGCGTTAACGCCACCTCTGTACTATAATGATATCAAACTATTGTATGTAAAAATAAGTGGCTTACCTTTTGGGAAATTCTCCAAGAGGAGATTCAAATGTCCTAACATACGGAAGTGATCCGCATTTTTGGCAATCTCTTCCAAACTGACATTCTCATCTTCACCAGTCTCTTTCTTTTTATCACCACTAGCATTTTGATTGTCTTTCTTATTATCATCTGGCTTTCTACTGGGCATGGGTTCAGGGACAACAAGCTCTTCAGGTTTGGAAGAATCTTTGTCTTCCTTTTTGTCTTTTTTCGTAAACTTTGCTGCTTCCTGTTCGTGATATCTGATCGCCTGGAAATGCAAACATCAATTAAAATAAAAAAAAACTAGCAATTGAGAAAAGAAAGAATATCATGTAACTTCGTCACTGACGAAGGATGTAGTCACATCCGAAATTTATTAAAGAAAATAAGTTATTCAGGTTAGTTAGAGGAACCATATATTATTATTAATAAGAACTAACAGATGAACATATTTGGCATCATGTAACTTTATAAAAGTTATGACTAATAATATTTTCTTAAATATGGTCACATATATTGTTTTCTTGTTCATAACAATAGTTTGATAACAAAAATCTGACTACTTTAGGTCACTCCAAATGACTTTAAGGCTCGTCAGTTTAAACTGTAATGCTAACTTGGTGTATGCTACTTGATGAAAAAATTCACACTTTCAAAGAGTCAGTTTCACAAACAATGGTAGGCTTGTGATTTTAGCATTTATCCAAATGGTTTAGGCAATTAGTTAATGTAGAATTAGTATGAATATCTAATACTATTTCTCCTTAGGGGGAATGGCCCATGGGGAAGTCCATGGGTCATCATGATTGACAACCTGGAAAGACAGGTAACTTATATGGGGTCCAGGAGACTGGGCATGTAAGACATGGCTGCAATGCTTTATATGCAATGTTGATGTGGAAAAGCCAGTCAGTCCTCTCAGTGGTAAATAATTGCCTGGAAAGTGAGGGGACGTGGGTTCGATTCCTACTAGGGTGGACTGACTTTTTCACATCAGTCCTTTGCACAGGATTTCATTCTGTGTTTTCATTAACCAAGCAATTATCAAATGTACAAATAGTGTGAATATTTAAGATATCTCTTTCTGATAGAAAAATGGTAAGTTCATGTTGAATGTCTATAGACATCATTCAAAGAGACCACCATCTGCATCTGCAAATATAATCCTTTGATCTAGCCTCACTCGATCAAAACATGTGGATCAAAAAACCGGAAGATCCTAATCCCATTTACTGTCACAGAATGTCTAAATGTAGTTGCCATTTATTTTGTATTAAAATTACTATGAAAGAATAATGTCTTATAAATAAGCTACTTTGGGATCGTTAAGATCCCATCTGCATCAAATCTGTCCCATTTAGAGGGTAGTAATTTCTACTACCTAGAACCTGGGGCTCAGGGTTGAAATTTTCTTACCTTTATGATCAAAGTTTTCTTTGCAGCATCCTCAGGCAAGTCTAGCTTTAGGAACCCATACAGTCGACTGGAAATAATATATCAGTTTTGTAGTATTTCAGCATAGAAACTTTCTAATATTAAAGTTGTTAAAGTTTTACTATAGTTAAAAAATTTATGATTTCAGAATATTGTATTTGAATGGAAATCATGTGCAATTTTATGAATTTGAGGTCCAAATGTTAAATGAAAAATGTATAATTTACAAATTACAACATATATATTGTAACAAGCCAGAGTTTCTACATCTTGCCAGGGTTGACACATTAACACAGTGACACATTAACAGTTATGTTAACAGTTATATATGTGATGGATTGATGACCTATAGATGGTGACCATCATATTCCATGAACCCATTAATCTGTCACATGCTGCCCGAAGCCAGGATTTGCAAAGGGGTGTTCACTTTTTAAAAAATTCCAGGGGGGAGTTTGTTTATGACAACTTAGGTACAAAAATGGCCAAAATCACGTGAAAACTGCTTAGAAAGATGAAAAACTGCTTAGGCTGCAGCAAAAAAAATCAGGAGGTACGTACACAAGTTTATATTATACAATCTCAGAACAAGCCTCAGAAATAAACATCATATATTCATATGTATTCCATACCTGATGAAGTTTCACGGACACACTAACCGGGAATATATTCGATATCCGGGCAAAATATATTTTGTATGTCCAGCATATGGCGTTATCCTGGACATACGATGGCTATATATCCCACCCCAGGAATTCCCGTCACAACTATTTCAGACTAAACAAAAGACAAAGGTTGTAGAAAACATAGTGAACAAAATCTAAAATTTAAAAAAGGAAATAATGTGAATGAATTCTGAGTCAACACAGAAAACAAAGACATTGCAAAGAAAACTCGTCTTAGTGTTCAAGTTAGCATTAGTTAACACATCAGCATATGGGAGACATGCTGTATTTTTTATTAAAACTTCATCAGGTACAGAAAATATCCCTTGGGATATACAAGCAAATTTTTATTGTTCCATGGTATACAATATATAATGTATCCAAAACCTTCCAGTGCATAACCCCTATGTATTTAGTAGTGGGACCACAATCAACATAACTGTGGCATGAGGTCATAGATATACATGAGCAACATCAGTTAAATAGAACAGTTATAGAACAAGTTATCTTATCGTGTTAGATGTGATGCTAGGCCCATTTCCCTTTTTTCTAGGTTCAAAAAATGCTATTTTATTTTGTATTTAGTGATGCAAATATGGCTCTCAGATATGCACAGAATGCACCAGATAGCCCTAGCGGATCTAGATGGGGGAAGTCAGAATTTGAACTGGAAATCAAAATAGATGGTTATGGATTGTCAATATCGCAAGCAAACGCTGAAATCAGACCCGGGAATTGGACCTATGCTTAAAATTGGTCAGAATGCACCAACCAAATGATGTTCAATTTTTGTTTTTCTGGGCAGGGCTCCGCACCGGGAATGCTTTGCTCGGGCAACTGTTCAATGTATCTAGTGTGCTGTCGGCACAACCTATCCGTACGCACCCAACCCCACCCCTATTGAGAAATCCTTCTAACATGTCTGAAACATTTGGAGACAGAAATAAGGGGCTGATTTCAAATTCCCATGTTAAGGATTCACGAGTATGTTGGAGGTGAATGTCTAAAAGAGAGAAAAGTCTTGCATCAACCACAGGGGCTTGTCTCGAGGCGTCGGGCAAGCCCTCCGATGAATCTACTGCTTATAATAGTATTAAGGGTGGTCGGTTTTGATGCTACCTGAAATTTGTAGAAAATAATTGTTAGATATATCAAGTAAAAATATATGGAATCCTTTCAATAATCGACATGCTGATTCAAACAACACTAAAGAGTAAACTTACCTAAAATGGTAGCAATCCATCCACTTGTTGCTGAGAAATCTGAATAATTTGTTAAGAAGTGATTACACTGCAAGTACCGAATTTTTTTGCAGCCAAATTATTACCTCCAGAGTCGATTTCTTCCCCAAGACACGTCCACTGTTAAAAATTGGTAGTTCCTAGAGTTCTTTGTTTCCTTAGGTTCATTCCCGTATGTTATTTTTAACGAAGGACAGCCTATAACGACTGCTATACGCAAAAAGATGCATGAAATTAAGTTTCGAAACTGAAAGTTGAAAAATGGCGACTTTCCCGTGTTCTATGCGCATGCGCAGCGCATGCGCAAAAATGAAAGTACTTCATTCCCACAATTCAGAAGGATTCGAATTACTTTTCGGCGGTTGGATCGGTACCAAATGAAAGATTATTGCCAAGGAACGGAAAACATATTTCGAAAATGAGAGTAATTTGTTTTATCACTAAAGGAAAATATTCCCGCAATATTAGGTGCATCGTGGGAATGGACTGGTGTGAAATAATGAACGCAAGTGACATCTATCTAGAAAAATATGTGGTCATTGCGCATGCGTTCATATAATATGAACTAATCAAATTGCTGGATTGAACGCAACTGCGCATGGAACACATTTTCAGTTTCGAAACATAATTTCATGCATCTATTTTGCGTATAGCAGTCGTTATAGGCTGTCCTTCGTTAATAATATACGGAAATGAACCTAAGTAAACAAAGAACTCTAGGGACTACCGATTTTTAACAGTGGACGTGTCTTGAGGAAGAAATCGACTCTGGAGCTAACAATTTGAGGGTGAAAATTGTCGTGTTTTGCATTTTCAATTAAATTTAATCACTTCCTTACATGTTCTTCACACATCTCAGCAACTAGTGGATGGATTGCTACCATTTTAGGTAAGTTTACTCTATAGTGTTGTTTGAATCAGCATGTCGATTATTGAAAGGATTCCATATATTTTTACTTGATATATCTAACAATCATTTTCTACAAATTTCAGGTAGGGCGAAGGGGTGTAACGTCGACACCGTTTGGGGTAACTTCGACATGTGGGGTAACTTCGACACCTTGTTGTTTATTTGCTCTAATTTCCGATCTAGGGGGAAGCCATGTTTTATTTCTCGCATGGATCGAGATCTCGCGAGATTTTAATTTTTCCAGAAATCAAACATGGTGGAAAACGGAAATTCTACTTCTAATACGTAAGTGTCGAAGTTACCCCGTCCATTATGTCGACATTACCCCACACGTCGACATTACACCCCTTCGCCCTAGCATCAAAACCGACCACCCTTAATACTATTATAAGCAGTAGATTCATCGGAGGGCTTGCCCGACGCCTCGAGACAAGCCCCTGTGGCATCAACCAATAATTCGTCCAACACGTACCTGTCATAGTCCTTCAAGAGGGCTCTTTCCTGGGAGGTGAGAGAAATTGCGTCGTCTTTCTCCATCGACATTGTGGTGATTAACTCACGAATTAGTACACAGTATCCACTTTTATAGTTGGTATGTATCCGTTTATTAACGCATATCCATAAAATTACGGTGTTTTTGCCGTAAATATGCAGGAAATTGCTAAATAAAGAGAAATGTTCAATATTTTGTTCGAAAACGCAAAAAGCAACGTGGCTTTAAAATCTCAATTACGAATTTGACCTATTTTACAAGGTTATAAGTAAGTGATCTATAAAGTACAATATACATTTAAAAATGTCAGAATGTACAGAAAAATGAATTGTCCTTCTAACTTGCATATGTAATAGAAACATCACATGATACAATAAACTCCAATGGAAAGATATGTTTTGTGTAACTGGTTAATTAGTTTTGCTTTCAAGTCACTTTTGTTTGACAATACTTCCGCTTTGGTTTATCCTTGCTTTGGGAATAGACTTTTTAATGGCACGCTCGCTACGGTTTTGGCACATGGCTCGTGTAATTTGGACATCACAATCACTCAGTGATTGCACTGCAGTATGCGATTATGGGTAGCTAGGGGGGGGGGGTGCGATAGCATCATTATACAATTCCTAAAATCACTTTAAGAGTAAAATCATCGTTCATTACATTTAGATTTCCCCTTGCTATATTGACTCAGGATTTTCTGACATTAGTAAAAACTGGACAGATAATCAGGAAATGCTTAACACTTTTTCTTTTGTTAATAAGGTCACACAAATTACAAATTTCTGATATAGGTGAATCACAGAATCCAGCAGCTCCATGGGTTCGACCTTACCGACAAGGATAGGCCTGTGATCATCACACATCTCATAACATCAGCCATCTTCCCATCATCAACAACCATGAAAATAGCCTTAGCATCTCAGGAAGAACACCCCATCAACTACATATCACATATCATCTCAGTGGAATATGTTCATTCCATGGAACTACTGCACAACGACAACAAGACTAACAACTACGTATTATCGGGAAGGGACAACGGCGTCCTTATCAATTTCAGAATGGCGACGACTCATTCGAAGCCATAGAAGCGCTGCAGATCAACAACTCAGTGCAGCTGGATGGCACCAGAGATTTCGTCAGGCGAGCTTCCAACCTCAACCACAAGCGATGTCTATTCCGTGGGATATTTCGCACAAGAAGTCACCAAGGCAACGGGTATTGTCAACGACAAGCTCATAGGAAGTGTACAGAGTGTGCATGCAGCAGGATAGGAACAAACGACCACCCCTCACTTGGTGCAGAGTTCAGAATATGAAATGAATTCCATATCTGCCGTACAGATTTTGTTTGTGTACCTGTATAATATGTAAATGTTGTATATAATAAAGTTTTAAACACTTTTTTATATGGAGTCATATAATATGAGTCTGGTGGTGAAATGTGATCAATCAATATTTCTATATTTATATTGAATCCCTCTTTCATGTCCTCACAGATATAGCGAGCAATTTTCTCCCCTCATGTCTATCCTTCTGCATATACACTGTGTATTGTAGTCATGAACAGTAACTTATTAAAGGGAGTGGGTGGATGAAACCTTAATTGTTCAATTTTTACATTATTAAGCATTATACTTTTAACTTGTCAAAACAGTTTTTGCTCCATGATATGTTGGGAATATTAAACATTCTACCTTGTAATAAAGTAGGTGCTACGGTAAATCCAAAACAAAACACTTCTTTATGATGGGCTTAGGGCTAAGTAAAAGATTTTTATTGACATATTTATGTTCAATTACATAGTAATACAATATTTAGTCTAAAAACAATACGAAAACAATATAATAAAAATGCTACAAAATAAGCTGAGTGGACCTAAATATAGGGAGTAACCGACCCCCCCCCCCCCCTTTGACCTGCGCGATGTCTCTTTAGTAAGAACCGCCCCCCCCCCCTTCGGAAAAAAGTGTCTTACAGGCCTGATCCAAGCAAACTTACCCTTTGAATTCGTTCGACTTCACTTCTTAAAAGAGAGCTTCGTCTTCATCGCGAATGTTGAAGTTCACATTTTATCCATTTTCAGTATTATTTGGTTGGGACTTTAATCATGTTTTCGCAAATTTGAAGACTAAAAAAATGTACGGTACCAACAAAAACTTTAGACCTTCCTCTAAGATATGAAAATATATAAGGATTCCTGTAGATCAAGGGAAATATAGTTCATTGCAGCTGATCACCTTTTTGAACCACCCTGTAATTAAATTTTCTCCATACCCCTTTTTGGGACTCACATATCGCTCGCAGTGATGCAAACGCCCCTGTGTGCCCTAAGGTTTCTCAGAGCTGCTGGTCAAATGGCATTACCTGGTGTTAAAGTAATAGTAGTTCCCCGGAAGCACCGTTCTACGGACTAGATTGAGATATCCTATGGATTGTGAATCCTAGTGTTTATGGTCTCAAAACGACTTTCATTCCTATCATTTTATGTTATAAGACTATGGACTATAATCATTGCTCTCGGGGTAGACATCCATTTTAGATATACTAAGTCGTTCAATAAGTTCGCGGAAAAATGCTCTCATGACAAGAGGTTTTAATATTTTTCATGAGATTTCCACATAACATCCCAAAAATATCTGGTTATTGAATCCTACAATAACATCATCTGTAATTTGATAGGTCTTGCTTGATAGGCTTATGTCCTTTGTCCTATTGGGATTGTGCCTACACCTCGTGAAATAAGCAAAAAAAGAAAAATCGTACCTTCGAGGTTCCGACATTTTATTTTCGAAACGATCCGTTTCGGTAATATCGAGTGGAGTACTAGTGTTACAAACCAGACAAAGAAAATGGACTATTACAGCAGCCTTTATATTCAACCTACTGTTTCAATTTTACAATAAAGACAAATTGCCCCGCAAATTGCCAACAAAGGGCCTCCTAATATATATCTTTGCTGTTATAGATATGGGACACAGGAAATAATAATATTTAACAAATGTGATAATATTCTCAATTTCATAGATAACAAACAGTAAAATATGATATTCAGGCCCGTAAGACACTTTTCTCCAAGGGGGGGGGGGGGTGCGGTTTTTACTAAAGAAAATATAAAATTGTCAATTTTTGTCGCGTAAATCAAATCGCGTAAGTCAGAGGGGGGGTCGGCTACTCCCTATATTGGGGCCATTCAGCCTATTTTGTGTTTTTTTAGACTAAATATTGAATGAGCAATTTGGAAAAACACTGGAATAGAGGGAAGGTGTGCACGAAGGGCATAAATGTTTACCCGACACTTTTTACCAGTTCAAAATCACATTCAGAAATTCAGATTTTTCAATCATTTTCTTTTTTCTTCTTAGGAGAGCGAGGGGGCAGCACAGGAAAATTCTACCAATTAAAGATGCTGTCTGATGAATTCTGAGCACTTTTTATGTGTTTGAGTAAATGAATGCTTTAGATTTTGGTGTGGGGTGCCAGAAATTTTTATGATTTCATTATGTCACTTGGTGACTGTTTAAGTGTCCAAACTGTCCAATTGTTTTGTATGGGGTGTGAGGAGTAGCCCACTCCCCGTAGAAAATTTTACACTTTTGAGATGCTATATGGTGCTTTCTACTTTCTAGGCACTTTCAAAGTGTATGAGTCAATAAAAACATGGGAATTCTTTTGGGGGTGTCAAAGCAGATGAGAGGGTGAAGTGTGGGGTGCCAGAGGCGGACCAAGTGTTTGTCCCCCCAGAAACATTGAACACGTCAAGGTGCTATTTGATGATGTCTGGGCACTTTAAAAATGTCTGAGACAATAAGTGAAATTCAGAATTTTTTCAATTGTTTTGTGGGGGATTTGAGGGATGGCCATCTCCAAGAAAATTTTACAATTTTAAGATGATATTTGGTGCTTCTGAGCTTTTTTAAAGTGTATGAGTCATTAATTTTTTCAAATTTTGAGGGGAGGGTTGTCAAAGGGGGATGCCAGAGGGCGAGGTGGGGTCGGGGTGCCAGAGGGGGAGCAAGTGTTTGTCCCCCATATCTGTCCCCCAGAAACACTGACCATATCTTGGCACATTAAACGTGTCTGAGACAATACATGAAATAAATTCAGAATTTTTCTCAATTGGTATGGGGGGATGTGAGGGGTGGCCTACTTCACTAGAAAATTTTACAATCTTAAGATGCTATTTGGTGCTTTCTGGGCACTTTCAAAGTGTATGACTCAATAAAAAATTTGAAAAAATCACATTAATTGTTTTTCTCAATTTCTTGAGGGTTGTCAAAGGGGGGCGGGTGCCAGAGGGGGAGGTTGGGTGGGGAAGCCAGAGGGCGAGTAAAAATCTTTGACTTTATCAAGGAGCTATTTGATGATGTCTGGGAACTTTAAAAGTGTCTGAGACAATACACAAAATTCAGAATTATTTCAATTGTTTTGTGGGGGATGTGAGCGTGGCCAGTTATCCTAGAAAATTTTACAATTTTAATATGCTATTTGGTGCTTTCTATGCACTTTAAAAGTATATGACTTAACAAAAAATATGAAAAAATCACAATTTTTTTCAATTTGGGGGGGGGGTGGGTTTAAAGAGAGGGGGGTGTCAGAGAGCGAGGTGGGTTGTTAGTCTCCAAGAATCATTGACTATATCAAGGAGTTATTTGATGATGTCAGGGGACTGTCTGAGACAATACATAAAATAAATTTTAAGACACTATTTGGTGCTCTCTGGACATTTTCAAAGTGCATGAGTTAATTACTAATAAAACTTTTTGGAAAATCACAATTTTTTCCATTATTTAGAGGGGTGTCAATGGGGGGGGGTACTGTTGCCAGAGGGGGAGGTGGGGTGGGGATGCCAGAGGGGGAGCAGGTATTAGTCCCCCAAAAACATTGACTATATCAAGGAGCTACTTGATGATGTCTGGGCTCTTTAAAAGTGTCTGAGACTATACATAAAATAAATTCAAAACTTTTCCATTGTTTTGTGGGGGGTGTGAGGGGTGGTCCCCCGCCCCCCAGAAAATTTTACAATTTTGAGATGCTATTTGGTGCTTTCTGGGCATTTTCAAAGTGTATGAGTCAATGAAAAAAAAATTAAAAAAAAAATATAATTTTTTTTTTCAAAATTCTTTTTTTTTGGGTGTCAAAGGGGGTTGCGGTCGCACCCATCGCACCCCCCCCCCATCTGACGGCCCTGATATTCTTTGAATGCAGAGCAAATA